ATTTTTTAGAACTCCACTGAAAACCTTTCTATCCAAAAGTAGTGTCAGTGATAAATGTTGGAGAGGGTGTGGGTCTGTGGGGGACCAGACGCATATTTTTTGGGACTGTGTTTACATACAACAGTACTGGATGGATGTCAAGAACATTATACAAAACATATTGTCAGTCAACCTCCCAATGGATCTTCTGATCTTTTTGTTGGATATCTTTCCTGATGGTTTCTCCTATGAGCAGCACTTTCTCCTGCATCTCCTCCTCATGACTGCATGAAAAATGATAACAATTCACTGGCTCAAACCAGAAACACCCACAGATGCCCAGTGGCTTCTGAAAACTAGACATGTCTATACAATGGAACGGATAACAGCTCAACTGCAACTAAAAGTGCCAACCTTTGAGGAAAAATGGAGACTAATTATAAAATATCTTGAAAGGACACTCAAGCCTTAACATTGTTACATCTGTGGTTAGGTATTGGTTTGTATGTATGTATATATGTATGTATGTATGTATATGTATATGTGTATATATGTTTTTTCTTTTAAATTAAGTTTTTGAATAACCCCCACCATTATATGCAGCAGATTTGGTCTCAGGTCATGTTGTTGATGTGAATTGCCTTGTTATTTTTGGCAATAAAAGTTCAAAAAATATATATAACTAAAGCTTTGTGTTATGAAACAGCTGTGTGCAGGTAGGAAAAGGACCCAAAATGCAGACTCACGGAAACAAAAGGTGAACTTAAATACAGCTTTAATGCTGGATGGCAAACAGAAAACTGGCTGAAGTAGAATACAAAATGAACTAACTCGGCAGGCTGGCAGACAGAACGCACAGCATAGAAGATGGTGGATAAGGGAGATCACGACACGGACACAGAGAAACACAGGGCTTAAATACGCAGACGGAGCAATCAGGGAATGGGTAACAGGAGGGAAATACAGCTGGGGCAAATCAGGCCTAACAAAACCGGGGAAGCAAAACCAGATACATTAACATAAGACATGGACCTTAAAAGTAAAAAAGGGAAACATAACACAGAGGCAGACTTGACACAGAAATACAGAAACTATGGAACAGAACAGAAACCATAAGGCACAACTCTGACAAAGAAACCAAAAGACTACAAATGATGAATAAAGGCAAAAACCAAAGTACAATAATAATGAAAACTCTCAACTCTGGGTCGTCTAAGGAGCTTGGAAAGAAAAGTGTCTGGACTTCTTTACCTTGCTTGAAGACGTTTCACCTCTGATTCGAGAAGCTTCTTCAGTTCTAGGGTCAAATGGTGGAGAGTCCCAGATTTAAACCCAGTGGGAGTAACCCTCAAAGAGGGACAAAATGACCCCCTGATGATCCTCTACCTAATCACATGAGGTGGCTTTTCTATAGAAGAGCTACCTCCACAAGACTCAGCTGTCCATCTGCATCTTAAGGATAAAGGACACTCTTTCGAGGATGCCAATGTTCACATTTTGGACAGAGAGGACA